AATCAGGGTCAGCCAGGACCTCATGACCTCCTGGTATTAGTGTGTTTGTGTAATCGAAAAGAACTGATTTGCAAAAAATGTGGTTTAGAACGGTGAGATGTTTTCTGAAGGTGTTGCGAGGACAGATTTTGACATTTTCATTTTAGTTTCAAATGGTGCACAAAGCCTGCATTGTTACTGGCAATAGCCATTTTAGATGTAATTCAATTGACTATTTAAACTAGTCATGTTTATACAGTCTTAAGTGTTAAGGCCGCCACAGACTACAGCAGGTGTCACCAAACTTTTTTCTCTGGGGGCCACATTATCGCTCCTGACTGTGATGGGGCCGGGGTCGGGTCGGCCGTATAACAGATTTGTTTGACTCTGACGACACAGATTATATTTTGAAAACCTCCACACTTTCCTTACATATCAGACAAACTGCACGATCCTTACACTGAACAAAAATTAATCAATCGTCCACCTCTTTAAAAACTCGGCACTCTCGGTCGAGTTTTCGTACTTTAACACTCGTGATTTTTCTGTCCTTAACGGCACTACAGAACTCTGCGTGAGCGTTGACTGTCACTGTTCGATCTCGAACTTGTCAGTTGACGAAAATTCGGTGGGAAATGTAAATACCTCATATAATAATTTAAATATGAATATAATTTTAAATGGAAAAAAAATCAATAAGACGCAGACGTGTTATCATTTGCCAAAAAATAATAAAAAAAAATAGGCCATGACAACTTTTGAGGATTGCCTCATTGGGCCAGTTCAAGTGGTGGGGGGCTGAGGGGCTGAGGGGCCAGTCAAAGGCAGTGGAGGGCTGACAAAACAAAACAACAACAAAAAGCACACATCACAGAGACAAGGAGAATCTTATGAGACTTAAAATCTCTGATCAATGGGATATGTCTGCATACCTCAGGCTATAAAGCTGTGAGCACTATTGCGTCTGTTGTTTCCTGTCTACAATAAAACTACTCGCGTTGAGACTCTTAAGTGTCCAAAGTGATCAGAGCACTGGACTTGTAGTTTAGATACAAGTCAAAACTGTGTTATTATTATTTGTGAAATGTGGTGCAATTATTTAGATACATGATTTTTAAAGTATAAAAGATTGGCAATAAAGTTCACAGGAAGTAGAGTCACTACCGCGAATCTGCAGCTTCACGTCGATCCGTGCGCTGTGTGGATGTAAACAGACACAGTGAGGAACTACTCTTGCCTTTTTACTTTTAAAGAACGCCTCAAACTGTATTAATAGCGCATCATTATTTGCTGAGGACAATTTCTATGGATAATGTGGATGAGATGCTGCACTTTAAATTGACCACTTTACGAGAGTTGAGTAATAAAGTCTTTTCATTATTTTCACTATTTCCTGAGTTTGTATGGTCCTCCTCTGTGTCCGTCACGCCGTCTGCCCATCTGACGCTCTGTTTTATCGGCTGTTATCGTAGCATTGCTGATGTTTGGTGATTACGATCTGACAGAGCAGCTCAGACACCACAGTCACGAGGAGCGCAGAGGCTTCAAAATCGCACACAAAGACAAAGTCGGGTCACGCCTCGCTGAACTCGGGAAGACGCAAATCATAGCCAAAATCAGGCAAATTCTCCTGTAGTGTGTGGAGGCCTTTACCCTACTTTAATAGTCTGTGTCCATGTGATATCAGACTTTAGATTTGCTGACCTGGTGTGTTTCTTGTCAGCTGAAAGGACTTTAGAGATTTTTCATGAGATTTATAGGTGCTGCATGTTTGTGGACCCAATTCCTAACAAATAATGAGGCCCTTGCCCACTGATTGATACTTTGCAGTGACATCGGCCCCATTTAAGTGAAAAAGGGCGAGTGTGTTGGCTAATGCTAGCTAGCTTTTGACTGTAATGTAATTTGAGAGGGACTACAAATCCTCCTCTCCTGTTGTAGTTCCAGCCAAGTCAATCCTTTATGGTCAGATCGTATCAAAACAAAGATCAGATTAAAGTCTAACTTCGGTAAAAGAGCTTCAGATAGAGCAGTGCCACTAGTTAGCTTCACACAAAGTATCAATTGCAGTAAAATTTCTAAAGTTTGACCCAAGGCGGCGGTGGCTATTGCTTCTCTCAAAAACGCCTCAGGATAACAGCTGCTCTGAAATTCATACTACTAAATCTGAACTACTAAACTACTCTGGCTGTCTTTTCATTTTTACCTTTTCAGCAGTATAAATTCATTTCTGGAGTGATTAAATGAAAGCGTAAAAGGTCAAAGAAATTATTCCCCGACTCCAAAAAGTCAAAGCTCCAATCAAAGTCAATGAAGCACGGTACATTCTACATCTTAATGATAACTACTGATTACAAACCAGACATTTTTGGAGATGAGCGCTTTACGTTTACGTCATTTTACTTCTTCTGGTCTCACAGGGAAGGTCCATAAATCCCTATCTCCACCCGCCTGTGCTGCCAAGGTGAATACATGTAGCGCACCGTGTAGTGGAGTCATTAATAACTAACGCCTGATGTATAATATATAATACAACTCAGCTTCCAGTGTTGTTCTGGTTTTAGTCTCTTGGAGTTTCTCTCTTGTACACGCTACAATCTTTATATTTTTATACCCCAATGAGTCCCTACATTTGATATTGAGCAACCCACACATTTTATTTTTTCTGAGATAACATGTGGATATAGACGTTCTCTGGGGTTATTAATATTTGATCGTAATATCTGCATAGTTTTTGGTCAAAATTACAGTCTTCAGGTGCAAGAAATATTGGGAATAAAATGCATGAAAATGAAAAATAACTTTGACTAATAGTGGTTAGATTAAGTTTCAACGTTTTACTGGGGGTGAAATGAGACATGGTTTTCAGAAGACGAGACACAAAATTGGGTCCAAAAGGTAAGATTTTGATATAACTCACAAAAAGTGGTTATATTCACAATTTTGGCCACATTATTTTATTTTTGTGTAATTTACTAAGTTTTAAGTATTTATTTTAATGTGTTGAAAAGGAGTATCTCAGAATTTAAGCCATTTTTTATCATTAAAGGTCCTGTATTATGCAAAATTGACCTCTGTGAGCTTTTAGCGATATTGAAATGTTGTTACCTCATCAAAAACATATCTGGAATTGTGTTTTGTTTCAGGGTACGTTTATATGATGACGGTCTGAACAGAAGACGCAAAAGTGGCGTCGCGTCTTCACTTTTTATTCCGTTTAGACAAGCGTTTTTGGGAGGAAATCTGTGTGCATACGGTGACGCAAAAGTGTGTGGAATTCAATTGGGTATGCATGCCAAGCGGCTCAGTGGTGATGTGATACACTATCACACAACACATGTGTGTGACGTAAATGTGTGTGACGTAAACGTGTATGTGACGTGAGCAGACCTGACCAGAGTTTTGCTTTTTTGGGCAGTGCAGACGGAAACGCTAGGGTGGAGTGGATTCAGCTTTTCCACTCTGGAGGGTGGTTTCAGGTTTTTGCGTTTTTAAGCCCTAAAAACGCCGTCACCGTCTAAACGAAACGCACTTCCGATAAAATATTTTGTCCTTCTTACCCGCAAGCGTTCTCATGTAAACAGGCCCTCATTCACACGTTTTTTAGTCACCCTGAATTAATAGGCTGTCTGCATTCCCAAAGCTGAAAATGCTCTGTTCCACCTTGTGAGTCATGAAGACATTAAGTTAACCACTACATTTTATCTTTAGTTCAGTAGAGATTGGCAATTCCAGAGCTGAAATTATCCAAATGATTCTAGTGAAGATGTATAGAGTTTAAAAACATAGTGGAGCACTTCCTGTACTGCCACATGACATCACAAGGTGGAACAGTGTTTTCAGTTTGAGAGAAGATCAATACTAACAGTGGAACAGTACAAACACAATGCATTGGTTTAACTGGCGGACTTCATGTGCTTCAGTGTAAAAAACAGCGCACTTTTGAAATTTTTTAAAACCTGTTTTTATTTTTCATATTGTGTTTATGAATTTCATCCTGAATTTCTGACAGCTTATTGGAAAGTGAACTGTTTTGGATTCCTCTGGTGTTGCTTACATGGAGTCAGTAAAAATAGATGAGCAGCCTATTGTTCACAGTGGAGCTCGCTGAGGTGTTCCTGGCACTACATCTATCACTGAGCACAGCACTGAAACTCAACCGTGTGTAGTCAAGGGTGGAGCTACGAAAATACTTGTAATTTTTGCCAATTTGAAGAAGAATTACTTTTTTCTGCAGTTTGTCTAACTGCTTTGATGTTTTATGCATTAAAAGGGTAAAGAGCATTTTAAGCTTTGAAGATGTAGACAGACATGCTTGAATGTTTGAACAAAATACAACTTCAGGTATGTTTTTGATGAGGTAACTGTATTATAACATGGCTTAAAACTCACAAGGGTAAATTTTATGTAATATAGGTAAGTAAGTAAAATTAAGTACAATTTCTAAAGTGAAATTAGCCTCAGTACAGATATTGTTGAGAGTGCGACAACTGTCTGCTTTCTGGGTCAAATTATGTAGTGCTTTATTCTCAGTGAACCAGGAAGTGTTCTGTTAGCATAATAATGTTTGTTGAACTCTGCACTGGCCTTTGAAAGTCTTGAAAAATACTTATAAACTGATTGCACCACTGATTGGATCACTGCAAACCATTTACAATGAACTAGTTACGTTCTTCATGTTTTCACAGCACTTTTATTTATTTTTATTAGTATTTTTTTATGCTTTATTGTGTCAAATTTCATATAAGAAAAAAAAAAAAAAGTATATATTCTTGGTTTCCACATTGCAGTAGCCACAATATTTATGTTTTGTTCTTTTGTTGTTGTTGTGTGTTTTTTTTTTTACTTGAAGGATAAATACCAGCCACTCTACAAACATTAAGAAATAATCAGCATTACTTCTAAATGTTTCTATTATTAGTTTGTTAGTACAGCTAGAACATGATTGGATGTGGATTGGCGACTAGCTTGTTAGTAGGTTTGAGTAGTAAGGTGGTGGCCGGTGGTGTACTGACCCGTACCTCCATCTCCTTGAGCACCGGGTGGTCCTCGATCCCTGGGAATAGAACCCTCATGGCGTAGGTGCGGTAGTCCAAGAAGGGGATCCCGGCACCGTCTAACTCCTGGGTCAGCTCATGGATGTCTGTCTGCAGCTCTGCAAAGGCTGGAAAGAACAGGAGAAATAAAGTTAAAGGTGCTATATTAGACAAAATTGACTCTTGTGAGCTTTAAGCCACGTTATATTGTTATCTTATCCAAAACATACCTGCAGCTGTGTTTTGTTTCATACACACATGTTTGACTAAGTTATTATTAGAGTTTCTACATCTCCAAAGCTCTGTTCCACCTTCTGATGACATTTAGTGGTAGTTTGCAAGTTAACAGCTCATTTTACCTTTAGTTTAGGGTCTGCTACCTTCTTGTCACCACAGAGATATTAAAGTTTCACCTTGATTATTACACAGTATGGAAATAAACTTGATAATCTCAATGGAAACAGGTTAACGGTCATATCTGTGAAGAAGCAAGCCTGCACATGGTAAGAATGAATGTTTTTCAAGGTTTTTTTTTTCAGCTATAAAACACCTTTACATCATTACATAGTGCACCTTTAAAAACAAAGTGGAGCACTTCCTGAATTACCACGTGACATCCCAGTTAAGGTGGAACAGAGCTTTTAATGTTTGAGAGAAGAACTCAGCCTAAATATGCAGGGTTATTAAACATGTGTGAATGAAATAAAAGTCCAGATAAGTTTTTGATACGAAAACATTACAATATAGATCAGAAAATAGCGCAATATGGGCCCTTTAAAATCTGGAGGGAATCATTTGCCTGAAACCCAAGAGCAGGCCCTTGTCGTCCATCTGAAATGATGAAATCCTCAAATTCTAAATCGTCAACACAAACTATTTAGTGAAAGTCCAAAACTACTGACAGCATATATTGTTTTGCCCAAATCCAATCATTTAGACAAAGCACAAGATTCACCCAAGTTGACTGCAAAATAACCATCTAAGTCTGCAACTTTCTCCATAATATCTATTTATACAGACATCATTCTGTCAATGTATAATTTGTGGATGCCATTAAACCCCATTGTGTGAAGCCGTGGAACACAAAATGAGTTTATTATTTGTACATCATAATGACTGGAGTCTGGTAGTTGTACTCTCACAAAAGGCCAGGTCAGTGAGGCTCTGAAATGTCACGAAATAGCCAGTAATTATGAACTGAATGCAAAAAGTGAACAAGGGAACATACATTACGACATAATAGCAGCTTCAGAATCAACAGTTTTGCAGTGTTAAAAGCAGGTCACGGTTATTTGAACCATTTTCAGCGTCACGATGGATGGAGTTGTGGTCATTATTTGTGTGTTAGTGTAAAGTTGATAAATAAGTCAACACTAGTGCTAAAAAGTTCTGGAAAATGACAATAAGTTGAATAAACATAAGCAAGTGTCCAAGCATAATCTGTGTAGGAGCTTCTGTACTAATAAGGGAAGGAGAGAGGACAAGGAGACGGAGGTTTAGTTTATATAAGTGTCCAAATATGTCCTTACTTTCTTTGAGGGGTTGGTGACAAATTACAGCAGTCCTATTTAACAATGTTCAACCACAAAAGTGCTGTGGAGGTGGCCAAATTTTGCACTTAAATAATAAACTAGGAGAAATAAAAATGAAGGATTACTGAGACAGCAAATTAAAACAAACAAACAAAAAATATATAGACTACCAGTCAAAAAGTTTTAGAACACCACACATTTTCCAGTTTTTTACGGTTTACTTTTTACTGTTGACCAAAACGTGTTCTAAACTTTTGATTCATGAAAGTGTCCACCTTTTGTGTCATTCTTTTTACAACAGAAGTCAAATATTCTTCAGAAAGTTCTTCCCAAGTCTATTGCAGAAGTTCCCATAAATATATGGCACCTGTAGGTTGCTTGGCTTTCACTCTTCTGTCCAGTTCATCCCAAAACCAGCTCAGTGGGGTTTAAGTCTGGAGCCTGGGCTGGACACTCCATGTTTTCAAGTTTATCATCTTGTTCTTTTTTCCTGAGGTAGTTTTGGCAGAGCTTGGACTTGTGTTTTGTATCTTTTTTTTTTTTTTTTTTTTACCTCTGGCTGTTCAGTACTTTCCTTTATACCATTTCAAGCTCTTCATTGGACTTGCATGACTTGAATTACAATAAATAACTGGAAAAATTAGGGTGTTCTAAAACTTTTGACCGATAGTGTATATAGCATACATTTTGAAAAATTACATCATGCATATATTTTTTGAACATTGATTAATATGTTAGGTGAAAAAGGCATGAGTCTAAATGTATTGAGGAGTCCCTTTTGCATTGAGCATATCATTCAGTAAAATATTTAACATGCCTGTATTTATATATTTATATGTTTTTTTCTTTTGTTTTGTTTTTTTCCTGGAGCCTTCATGTTACTAAAGATTAAAATAAGTTAAAAAGCATTTATTTGTAAAAATAAAAACTGTAGACAATGGTTAATATGTCTACAAGTTGGGGTAAAAAAACAAAAACAAAACTTGAATCTAAATATATCAAGAAAACACTGAGCACATCTTTTACAATAGTGTGAAGTTAGCGTGCCTATACAACCATTTCACCAGTTCATTTATTCATTTATTTATTTAATTTTCCGTCTTGTCCTGGAGCCTTTACATTACAAAAGATTACTTGAAAACATTTATGCACAAACATATGGCAGACTACATTGAGAGCTTCCATTTAGATCTAAAAGAGCAGACTCACACCCCGGGACTCGCTCTGCAGACATCTCAACATCTGGTGGAGTAAGATTATTTCCCTATCTCTTCCTCAAATATTAGCTCTCCACATCTCCCCCATAAACCTCCCCATTGACACTTGCCAGTCAGCAGTTGTCATTTATATAGTGCAGCTAATTAGCCATGACCGCTCTAGTCTGGATGAGTCTATGTGCATGAATGAACTTCTAGCCCCCGTGTCTACCCTAAGGACACTGGGAAATCCACACTTCTCGGAGCCCCGCCCTCTTCATCTGTTCCTCCGCCCACACCGCCGTCCCGTCGCAGAGGAGCAGCTGGGAGGGCAGCAGGAGGGGCGGTTTGTTGTGAAGGAGGAGGAGAGAAGAACTATATGCTTCACTAGGCTAGTTTAGATTCATCGCAGTTACTAGGGATCGAGTACTTGGATAACTGGATTACTGAGGGTCACATCAGTGTAATGAGGACTGCTTTGTTGGTAAAATTGGAAGTGAGGAGAGTTAATGTGTAGACTATATCAATTTAGATTGCCATGGTTATAGCATGATGATTTTAAGACCATTATGAAATTAAAAGGTTTAATTTGGCAATCTTCAAAGTATGTGCTTTTATACATGAATCATTTCGAGTTGGATTGTGTAACTTTTCTGGTGGAGGGTTAGCCGTGGATATGTTATCTCTTTGTGAGGAATGTTTAAACCTTTCTATCTTCATGGAGACCAAACCAGGCCGAGTTATAGATTAGATCTGTGCAGAGGCAACCCCGCTCACAGTCAGAAACCCTCTTTTTCTAGGTATTTTTGAGCCACCTGTAACTGAATAAATGTAAGGTAGAGCTGTTTAATGTCATACTGTGGAACATTCCAGGCAGAGCAATGACATGTCCATAGAGACAAGCACCAAAACATTACATAGTGTACCTTTAAATAAAAATCTGGAGTCAAAGATAAGTCTACAACCATAGGTGGGTAGAGTAGCCATAAATATACTCTAGTAAGACTAAGGTTACTTCAAGAAAATAATAGTACTCAAGTAAGTAGAAAGTAGTGGTCCAAGGAATGACTCCAGAGTATTAAAAGTATTTTTGGAAACGACTAGTCAATTAAGAGTAACTTCTTGCAGACAATTTATAATTTGAAGTTAATGTAATTTGAAACACTCTAAATGCTACAGTACATAAAATCTGGCATTAGAAGAGGACAGACCACAAAATAAGAAAAAAATAAGAAAAACTAAATCATATCTGAAGTGGTGCACAACTGTTCAAATAGTTGTCACTTGTAGACTCAGTAGAAAGAGTCATTAAAACCTTTGCTCAAACATCTTTATTGGAAAACCATAAAATATATTACTCAAATAGGAGTAAATGCTTAGTGACTGAAAACTACAGAACTACAGTCTTAAAATGTAAGTTACTGAAGTAAATGTAAAGTGCTACCCACCTCTGACTGGGACTAAATCTTTCCTCAACTTCATGCTTTTGTGGAAACAGATTTCTGAAGTGCAAATTCTGTTTTGATAAATGCATTGCTACAGTTTAAAATGCTTGGGTTGTACTGTTCTTTCCAAAAACAATAGCCTTGTTTTAGAAATAAATACACCATTATTCATGTCTACTTCCACCGAAACACCATTTCCTTTTAAGGATTCAGGGGTTTCTAATTTTGTGATTTTCTTGAGCAATGATTATCTAGAATCAACATTTATTTAGCTTTATTTCAAACTTAATTCATTTTATTTGAGCAGTCAAAGAGGGACATAAAAATCTATGTCACCAAAGCAAATTAAAGGTGCACTATATAACATTTGTGCTTGTTTCCATGGAGATGTGATTGTTTTGTTGGTATGGCATTAAACTTACCTTGCATTTATTCACTTACATGTTTATATATTTCTCAAAGTATCTCAAAAGTACGCTCTCTTACCTGGATCGGCCTCCCCTCTCCACAGATCTGACATTTAATTTTGCCTTACTGTAATAATGTCATATTGTAGGACATTTTAGGCAAAGAAATAGCATCTCTACGGAAACAAACACGTGGTGGATCTCCCCCAGAAAAGTTACATAATGCACCTAAACTGAACCGTGATTTGACAAGTTGACAGGGTCAGGCATGATTAGAACCAGCAACCCTTTGGTTAGTAGGTGCCCAATATCCTGCAGCACCGGCTTGTTTGTTAGTGACTTAGTTTATTTGAGATTTATTTAGGTTATAGAAACTTAAAAATGTGGTTGTCCATATTTTTTATCAATGTTTTAACCCAAAATTCCATACCTTCCTTACACTCCAGTGCAACCCGGGACTCCAGGTTGTCCATCTGGAGCTGCAGGCGTTTCAAAGTGCGGTCCGCGTCCCTGGACTTCCTCTTGTAGGCGATGAGCACGGCAATGATGACCAATAGGAGAAGGCCGCCGCCCCCTCCGATCCCGATGATGGCGGGCAGAGTGAGCAGACTGTCTGAGTAGATATGAAGTGTCCCGGGAGAGTACTCGAAGCCCCCTGCACGGATCTGCACACACAAATAGCAACAACAGGGTTGGTTAGTAATTTGGTATTGTGTTTTTCTCAGCTAAAAGGTGCATTACAAGGTTCTTCATCACTGTTTGCATTCTCAGAAGACAGGCCCTCAGTGGCTGTAAAGACAGAGGGAACTGGAGAAATAGCTACCTATAAATACACTGCGCAACAAAAATATATGGAAGGAAAGCAATAAATCCAGACTAAAAAACACTAATCTAGGGAAGGAAGAAACATATCCTGGCCTTTATAAACTGAGTATGGCTTTTGTTTATCAAGTATAACTGTTTACTAAAATTATATGATTACTGCATTTTTCATATTATAATTCACACTTTTTTTTCGGGTGGTTTGGGTGTTTCCTGCGATTTATTTCATTGCAACTTATTTATTAACATTTTCACACTGACAGTCGCGAGGGGGCGCTCTAGGCTTGTGTGTCAGTATCTGCAACTCTTGTTACTCCTGTGCCGCTGTCACTTGACTCTACTGCGCATGTCTCCTGCACAAAGAGCCACTGTCCTGTCTGGGATCATGTCAGTGAATCGCACCATTACTTCTGTACCAGTGCAAATGTAACTTCATTGACAACCAAAACCATCCTGGATTCAGAAATGCCAGAATAATTTTAACTGGAACTGATGCTGATTCTGACGAGAGCTATACAGAAGGAGGTTGTGGAGTTGCTCAGAAATGACACCGAGGATGAAGAATTCAAAGGATTTAGTGATTTGTAGTGAGATGGAGAGTTTGGTAAACTTGTTCTGTTCTGTTGTTTATGCTATAGTTATCTGAAAAACTGTTCATATGTGTCGTTAACAGCCTGTTGTTCTCTATTCTGTTGCTATTACTATAACTTGCCTTTCAAGATAAAGTGTTTTTCTTCTTCATTATACATTTTTTGGCTGGTGCAGCTTATACTTCAGAGCAACTTATAGTCTGAAATATACAATATATAAAATTAAACAAGGCTTAACTACAGGAAGAATTGTGATTCATGTTATGAAGTCAATACATTTGACCTTTATTGACTGAAAACAGTTTCATTGTTTTGTAACTGTTCTGTTCTGTTTTCAAATCAACATTTTTTGTAAAGCCCTGAGTAGTAACTGATGTTGTGATATTGGCCTATACAAATAAAACGCTGAATTGAACGTTTTGGAGGAAATGTACATAATTATATATCAAACTATGTAAAGTCATACAGGCCTCACAAACTCAATTACCCATAGACTGACTATTGTACCTCTGTATAGGTCCAGTGCATAATAATCTCAACATTTGGGATCTAAAGTTATCTACAAAATACTGGCTGTCTCATTTATAAAACCTTACACAGAATTCTTCCTAAAAGTGTGCGTGCAGACGAAACATTTTTCTCTGAGAACTGATCTTTTACCTCATCTCTGAGTAACCCAACACTCAAAATTCAGCATGTTTAGACTGGAATGCCAATTTCCACATTAAGTTGTCTTTTTAAAAATCACAAAGTTAACTTGGAAAGTCACTTACATAACATTTTTGTATAACGAAAGTTTTAAAAATAAGACCCCTGATCATGAGTTGCTATGAGTTGAATATTTGAACATCTTTATTTCCGCTATACATCCAGACCTATACCTCCTACTTTTTTCACTTTCTATTAACCCACATCACATCTCGGCAGATTCTATGTATATCCCTCTATAAAGATCCCCCGCTCGCGTCTCTGCACGTTGGCCTCAGTTAGCATTCAGCGTTCACTCACTCCACTCATTCCACAAGCAATCAAACAAAGTAATCACCAGCTTTTAAATGCCTCCCCGAGGAGTAGGGGTAATTAAGAAAAGTCAAACACATGTATCTGTTTTTTTCTTTCTCCCATTACCTCCATTTACATACGCACTTCCCTTTGAGACGCAATGGAATCTTTTCAAATCAGGACGACTGCAGGGGGGGCTACATACCTGATTCAAATGAGCCATGATTAGCCCCTCTCCAAGTCCTACTAAGTGCACTCCTGCTCCCAACATTTTCAAAAGTCACATTTGGAAAAAGTAAAATAGAGCAGCTGTTATATCAATAGAAAGGCGGTCGATACCTACTAATTAAATTTGCAATAGTAAAGTCAATTAGACAAGCTTGTTTGAGATTAGGCAACCAATTAGCTGCGCGGACATGACGGGAGTGCGAACAAAGTGGGTGAGCTCGGAGGAAATGGAGGCGAGAATTAAGAGGCAAACTGTATAATGAGAGGAGATAAAAGGAGCGTGCGGATCAGATTATCGCTCGCAACTGGTACTTTATGGGTGAACATGGGTGAACTGGACCAACTGTGGAGAGGAAGGGGTTTTCAATAATCTATACCAGAGATTATACACGGTGCAGGTAACACGCGATGGACTGGTTGGAAGTGGTTACCTTGTTATTAAGAGTTTAATCTGTGTAATTCTAGCGTAATCTCTGAACATATTGTGTTTGTGATTGTGGATATTTCAATTTTTGCGAGAATTCATCTTTTTAAACTATTATCCCCTCAAATTGATATATTCTATGGGCTTGTTTACACGAGAACACTTGCTGGTAAAAACGGCAAAATATTTGATCAGAAGTGCCTTTCGTTTAGACGGTGACAGTGTTTTTGGGGCTTAAAGACACAAAAATCTGAAACCACCCTCCAGAGTAGAAAAGTTGAATACGCTCCGCTGCAGCGTTTCCGTCTACACTGCCCAAGTCACAAAACTCTGGTCAGATCTGCTCACGTCACGTACGCGTTTACGTCACATACATATAGTACACAGAAACAAACATCGGACAGCATGCATACCCAATCGAATTCCACACACTTTTGCGTCACCGTATACACACGGATTTCCTCCTGAAAACGCTTGTCTAAACGCGGAATAAAAAGTGAAGACGCAACGCCACTTTTGCATCTTCCGTCATCAAGTAAACGTAGCTTATATGTCTTTTTTTTCCCATCACTGACACAGATCGTATATATATGAGTGGACATAGCTAACGTGCTAGCCACCGTGTGCCAAATAGGAAGCTCACCAGGAGGCTCTTCCCGCTCCTTCTGACTCTGACTCAAGTTGACTTACACTGGGATCTTGTCGCCCCTCTCTCTGTACCTGCTACAGTGAGCCTCGTCATTTTGGTCTAAAAATGTTCGTATTAATCCACTGTACATGATCCTGATATATATATTTTTTTCCGCTATTTTGTCTGTCAAAACGCTGAACGCTATGAGTGGCATCACAATTGCTTAGTCCACTTCTTTTATACAGTCTATGATTATTGACTTATTTGTTGCTGAATACCTTCTGTACACTTTTGTGAAGATTTTGTAAGTTTTGAAGGATTTGTTTTGTTTTGCAAAACCCAATTTCCTGATTCAATTGTGCTTTATGAGAACTTTAAATATCTCAGGCTGTAAGCATTACTCTGAAAGTGATTTGCTCCATTGTTGGCACTTTCCCGGAAGAACAACACCCGTCAGACTTTGAACCAAACCGAGACCGGCTATAACGCTGCTACAAACCCTGCAAAAACTTCAACAAACTCAGACATTGAACACATTTTCTAACTGGATCTTTTCAATACTTTCGCGAAGTAAAGAAAGCCTTTCAGGACATATTTTTGCACGTGGATGCATTTGTTGTGGACATAAAGTATCTATTGATCTATCTATTTATCTAAATTCCTCCATTGTTGATGCCACATTACACCAACATTTTGCACACCGCTCTAAAAGGTTAGAATCAGTGATGCAAAACCACATTACACACAAATTGCATTATGAGCAAAGGGAGAAGCAAACCATCCTTTTAGATGTAATATAATTTTATTTTTTTCTCAATAATGATGTAATCACCATCAAAACCGTCTCACATCTGGGCATGCAAAAAGACTACAAACTCATAATTATACAAATTATGTAATTGCACATCAGGCTACACTCTGACTCTGTATTTATGTGGATGTTTTTCTTACTACAAACCAATTAAACTTTGCATCCTCGTAAAAATGTTCCTTCTTACCACTTTTCCTATCCCCCAGTAATTAGTAATGTAAAAATAACTTAAATATTGTGATACTGAATCATCAAAAGTCTCACAATATCGTGGACCATCACAGTATCTTTGCTTAAATTTAACACAAAGGAAACTACATAGACCATGATCCTTTGCTGTTTCAGTGCAGACCTCATGAAGAATTGTCATTAATTATTGTATTAACTTTTAAATCTTAGTTCTTTGGTTTATGACTGAGCTAAAGCATTGTCAAGGCATTTCAAAAAGTAGAATATTCATAATTTTATTAGCCTCCACAAAATATCGCAAGAAATATCGTACAGTGAGGTGCATATTGTGAAAATATCGTATTGAGAGATTTGGATATCTTTACATCCCTACCAATGATTAGCCTGATTCATCAGCCGGTTTTATTTCGTTTCACTTCGCAAAAACAGTCTGATCTCGCAGCCTTAGATTTCGTTCGCTCGGTGGTAGGTGGGTATTTTTTTTTCATTTAACCAATCGCTGCTGTTTGGTCATGATGTATGTAATGCGCCGCTAACGGGAATAACTGATATATTAAGCTTTTCCCAAATCCCGTAGGAAGAACGGCAATAACGTCTTTCCCCTTGATGAAATTCACCAAACATTCTCTTTGTTCCAGCTTTAAATCCTCGATCTCGGGAATCGTTGACAACACTGAATATATCATCCTTTGTTGATTGGCTGGTGCCCGAACTCACACTTCCGAGGTTTTTGCAAACTGTCTATTGTATTCTGATTCCTGACCTAGTTGCTGGAGAGAAATGAAACTGAGTGGAGGCACTAGGCGGCGCCAGCCTGGCTAACGAAATGATAACAGTGCATAACAAATATAACTGCTTTGGACACGTGCATCTATTTTTATTGTCGTGACAGACTTGAGGTAAAAAGCTAACAGCCAAAACAACAAACAACTTTCTTCGAAGAACTCCAGGGAGGTTCACAGCTGCCT